AATAACCTTCCATTCCCCGAAACCAAACAGCACCTTTTTTTTCTTTCGTAGTCCTCATATTCACCGCAAAATGACTCAGTGGTTTTGGTGCGCTTTCAGATCATTTGTACGACGGCATGCCTGGTTCCGCTACTGTTGCGTGAGTTTATTTGGCAACGGAGAAGATCGTACAATGTAATAAGCTCTGATCGAGAAGATAATGGCGATGAAGAGGATGATGTCGTAATCGCTGATGAAGATGTTGTGAGACGTCGATATTGGCTGCAGAAGATACCGATGAATAGAAATTAAATCTACTTATGGATCGCAATATGCAAAGGTCAATATGTTTGGCTGAAACGTGTTGTTTTGAAGGGTACTTAAATTCATCTACTTTAATTGACCTCTCAGCGCCTCGCGAGGGCCCGGTTTGCACTTTGTTCAGCGCTATAGTAGCCTGCAAATTTAAAGGAAGGGGGATAACTTCACAAGGAAAATTTCACAGTTCGAGGAGTCGCTGCTATCGTATTCCGCGCGCGCTTGATTCAGCTTCCCAAGTTGGAGATGTTTTTAAGCGCTATATTCGCCTCGAGCGCTACTTGCGTGATTACTTTCAACCGCAGTGACTTCATTGCTTGGTTAAGACGGCCCGCTTAGCGCATGATCCAAGAGTAGGGAGTGGGGGTTTTTGTTTCTGGGTCACGGTAGTAGTTATTCGAGGCATGTGAAATCTTTCACATGGCAAATCCTACGTGAATCACGCATTAAAGTGTGAAGTGGCTCACCCACCCCGAGCCAGGGTACAGCTTCAGGATGAGTTAACTCCCAGTGCCAGTCTTTCGCCTAATGATGCTGTACCCTGTCCATCTCCGTCTGGAGCATCCTTCTCGTCCTCCCCTTCGCTACTGGCAACTGGGCGCGGTGCAACATGTCAGAATGCCCATATCGCCATCTTCTCTGTTTTGCAATACTTAAATTTATCAGTTTTCTCACTGTATAATCGGATTTCACAGGTGTCGTGAAAATTTCCAGTATTTGTCGGAATTAATTTTCAGCAACCACCTTAGTCACTTATTAGTTTCTTTATTTTCATGTGATTTTCGAGTCAGCCTTCTGGTATGAGATTTCGAACATAATGCTGAAAAATCTGGTTGATTTGTGACATCAAGTGCATAGCTTGGTTTCAGTTGTATATTTCTATCTGTGATTCAGTTCAAGTCTGCAGATTTCTAATAAACTTTATTTCATTCGCTAGCTGGTTCCATGGGTTGCGACAGCGTTACTATTACTAGAACTAACATCTGGTTACAATAAGAAACAGCGAAATCCTTACAAGGGAACCCCAACAGGTCGATCCGGCCATTTACAATGAGATGTATATATATGGACGTGTCTTGAGCCGCTGAATCCAAATCTGCCCTCCGATTTTGCGGAACGATTCTCTGAAGGGAGTTACGGACCATTTAATCTTTGCTGTGTTTGCACAAGCTGACCAGGAAAGGCCAACACGTCAGCCCGGCCATTTGCAACGAAATGTACATCATTGTACTCACCTTGCCACGATGAACACAAGACTATCTTTAAAATTTGCGGAACGATTCTCTGAGCGGAGTTGTGAGGTTTTTCTTTATTGCTTTTCTTCTTCCGGGCGCGCCAGCGCCAAAGCGTTAGCACCTGTAGCGCAACTCACAGCGCTCTTCGCGCAAAACAGGTATCATATTCGTGTTCAGAGGGTCGAATAACCCCTAGAGACGTCACCCTAGCGAAATCCGAGGTTCTAACTCATCTTCGAGAAAATGGGTTATGAATAGCTATGGATTTTTTCCACCTTGTGAAGATAAGGAGCTGCTAATCTGGGAAAAAGTAGCCAAAACAGTGAAAAGTTGGAAAAAATGACTAAATTAGTCTGGAAAAAGCAAATAGTTCCTGCGCTGCGGCCCGTTG